GGGGTCACCTCGGGCAGTGTAGGGCTCTCTGGGTCGCCTGGGGGTCACCTCGGGCAGTGTAGATGAGATGTCTGTCCATCGCAGTGCTTGAATACACTGTATCAGCAAATTTGGACTATGAGAGGAAATTCACATGACACGTGGCTAACATGCAAACTGCACACACAACACACAGACACACACACACAAGTACGCACATATGCACATACACACACACACACACGCATCTACCAGTGAGTGGAGGTGTGATTTTACACCCACCATGCCAAACAAGTGTAGAATTCCAACATGGAAAAAGGTTTATAATCTTTTTCACATTAAAAAACAGAATTTGCATTATTTTTTGTTGTGTGTGGAATCTAGGGTCCATATTTTGGAGGTTTAAGTTTTATGCATCACCGATCTTTTATACGAAATACTGTAACGAAACAGGTGACAGTGAAGCAGTGTGTGTCTAGTTTGCCTACTGTAGAGTGTGTATGCAAAATTACATGCCTCATACAATGAAGGAAACACACAGGCAAACACATTCAAAGCCAATATGAAATGCCTTAAATCAAGGGCTGTACAATGATGGTTTAATCGAATGGTCGTAAGATAGCATAACTTTATGGAGTAAAAATGAAAGACATTCGCCAGAAGAGCTGTCGCGCGGTGGGAGCCTGGCATTCTGACCTGCCACTTGTACGTATAATATAGAGAAAGGAGCCATTGGGGACATACGTGGGCGGGGTCACGCGTCCGCCGGCTGTTCTTGAGTGTGCTGCCAGCTTCCCACTTTCTTCTCTTCTTGTTTATCCTTGCGACGGTTAAATGCTGACATGAGAGTAACAATAAGACACGAATCGCTAAAAAGGGGAGACTGGGAGCTTTTGGAGTTTCGCGCCGTCAAAGGAGCAGGTTCTGCATGGAAACTTGCCGAAGCCTTTGAGAAGCCTGGACAGAAATGTGGTCCCCAGCTTGGCAAAGTCAAAATTCTGATGGGTTTACAGTGGGATTTAAGACTGATTAATGATTATCTCAAACTCAATGCGCCCATCCGCCCTACCTAATAAAACAGCCCAAAAGCAGCAAAGCTGTAAGCCTGAGGGATGCAGTCCAGCCCAGTCTGACCGTGTCCCCGGTAGCCGGCGGAGTTTGCAAGCTGGCGCCGATCCAGGGCACAGAGCCGGTAACATCAGCAAGTCAGCAGGCTGCTCGTGATAGACTCTGCAGCTGGCTTATAACAGTTACTGGAAGAACTTAAAGAAGTGACGACAGCACAAATAGTTGGAAACCTTAAGTATTCTTCTATGTGAACGATAATAATAAACATATATTCTGCGACAAATTCTATGGAGTATTCAGACCAGCGACATTGTCATAGGTTTTCCATTTATTTCAGGTGGCAAGTATGCAGTATATACAAACTGTACTTCGCCTCTGTTGCGGTCGAGTTATGGCGGATCTGGACACATTTTGAGGTGGGTTCTGCTCGGAAGCTTGGAAAGTCGTGAGTAAACGTTTCCTGATGCCTTTCCAGGTGCCCGGCAGCCGGCTGGCTCTGCGTCGCTGAGCGGCGGGAACTCTATTGCAAACCCTCTGTGGCAGAAAGGAACGTATTGCTCACCCTTTGCACTTTCGGCTAGTAATCTACAAGTCTAAAACAGCTTCAGCTGTCATTATGTTGAGTATACGCCAACGTTTTTCACTAATAGACTAATTTAAACCACAACATTATGGTTGTTTTTATTTTCAGTACTAGAATAATAATTCACATTCTTCCTCAGTTAAATGTTCATGCAGACTTAATTACTGAATGTTTTGTTACAGGCGTTTCAGTGGCATAAAATGGTAAACATTAAGGAGGATTACGATAATGTCGGTGGAATGCGACTACGATCGAACGGAATCTGTTTAATGTACCGCCAGAGGGCGCTGTCGCACAGCTGAACTTGCTCCCTACTGACAGCCTCGGAATCTGGCCTGATAAAGCAGCTGCGCTGCCTCGCCACTTGGAAGCGACCCAAAAGTGTAGAAACCAGAAAAAGCCCCCATCCTCAGCACATCCTCTTCCGCTTCCTGAACATCAGGCAACAATGTAACATAATGCGCCAATGCATCGATTCATAGCAATTCATTCATGTCGATATTAAGGCGATGATTTAACGTCTCCAGGAAATCCATCTGACCATTTACGGACAAGTCGAGTAATTACGCTTTTCAGCTATGCTACTTAAGTTTAATGAAGATCAGTGAATTATAAATCGGTATTAATGAATTACCTACCAAGCTAGAACACGGTTTATAATTCAGTTAGAGTTCTGTAATGTGTCACATTGACGCTTGAAATATTCAATAACACAAAGGTATTTTCTCAAACACACACATAACCAATTTCGCGCCCCCTCCCGTCCTTTGTTTCCTCTATAAAGATACCCCCCCCCCTTTTTTTTTCTTGGCAGCAAACATGTTTTGCTTCGGGCTGAATTTCCTTGAAATTATCTCACACTCACGAACGCGGTCTATTTCTGGCCTTAAACAGCGGACGAAGAAAAAAATAAATAAAACAAATGTTGGTGTGGGCGTGGCGGCATATGGGGCTGTTTGGGATTATATTTGGGAATAGAGGGAGACAAGGTTAATGTCACCAGTGTCACCGCTGTCATATCCTGTGTCTCACACGCACTTCTGTCGTTAAGTGTTACCTCTTACTGCGCCGCCTCTGACTCAGGGGGCCAGATTAAACCGGACCTCCATCCATCCCCTCAGCCAGCATGTGAATTCCTGTTCAAAATGTAATTAGCTATTTGTGTAAGTTTCACGGTCGGAAAGACGCGCTAATGATCACAGCTGTCACTCCGTTGCGAGGTCAATGAAAACTCTGCGGCCAGTGACCGTTATAAGACCAATGGGTGAAATTTCTGAAATTTCAAGAACAGTATCGCCCAGAATGTTATTTCTGTGGTTCATTTTCGCTCCGCACAAGGGTCGACATCTATTTGTCTTAATAAAATATAAGAATACCACGGCTAATTCAGATCTTAAAAGGAATTAGACTGCATTTTCAAGAAGAGCCAACTTAATTGTCCCACAATGTACTGTAATAAAATCCTGATACTTTTTACATTCTGGGGACATTTTCCCGTCTCCACAAGGGAAAATTCAATTTTACGATAATCTCTGAATGCAATCCAAAAAACAGCCAACATGGCCACAGAAGTACTGTATTGTGTTTGATTAATTTTATTTTAGTTAATGATAGGGCTCGGTAAGAGGAAAGGTTGTCTTTAGGGATATGCCCTTTAAGATGAATGGAGATTCCCCACAAAGATATAGATACCTAATCTCTCTCTTTCTCTGTTTGTGTGCACTGTGTGTGTGTGTGTGCACTCTGTGTGTGTGAGCGTGCGTGTGTGTATGTGCACTCTGTGTGTCTGTGTGCCTGCGCGCGCCCGGGGCACTCTGGTTCCCTCCTTGTACTGCGACATGCATTTAGCCTAATTGGCGCCTCTAAATCGCCCACCACCCAGCGCGTACCGCCTGCTTTGTGAGCCAAGCTGCCTGGGACTGACCACAGTACATCGCGTTAATTAGCTTCTCTGCCGGCCAGTCATTCAGGGTGACCCTCTTTACCATTTTTACGGCCAGTCCGAATGAATTACCCTGATAAAGGGTTTAACCGAAAGAGCCTGTGGGAAGCGTTGCATGTCCTTTCCTCGGCGGCCGATGTCGGTGTGCAGTGCATGTTCTGGGTGACTTTCTGAGCTACAAAGTGGAACGGGCCCCATTGAAAGGTTCAGCTGTTTTTTCTGTATTAATTCAGCTGCGGATCTTTTTAGTGTGTAATCGCGGGATTCTTGAGACCATTAATTGTTTTCGTTAAATGTCTGAGATAAATTCTCGATTTTAACGTTTTCTTTTTAAAATGTCAATTATTATTCAAGTTTAGCCCACGCTGGGAAAAACATACTTAGCCCTAATTATACAAGATCTGGGGAATTCTGAACTACAGCTCCCATAAACGCAGGATCACTCTGGAGCCCCTTTCTCTGCTGGAGGAGGTTTGAAAAAAAGTTTGGGAAAGAATCCCTGGAATTTGTTTCCTGTGAAATTTCTCCGGGGGAACGGGACAGGCGGAGCTGGCTGCAGAGGCATGGAGGCGCAGGGAGACGCTGCCTTCCCCGACACGCCTGCGTCCCATGTGCAGATCCGCGGCGTTCGGCTCATCTAACAGCGGCGGCGTCTCCTTCTCTACATCCCGATCGGCGCAGCACGTAGGGCGCTCAGATCATGGCAGAACCTCTGCTGAAGAGGACTTTCTCTCGGCTTCGAGGCAGAGACAGATCCCGGAGGAAAACAGACCCGAAGCCTGAGGGTAAGTGTGATGGGCAACATTACATGCGTTAATTATATAAAATTTATAATAAGTTAATATAGTTAATGTTGTAATATTTAGTAAATTACGACCGACAATATAGCAACCAGTGTATCAGACATGAGAAAAGAGCATCGAAATATAGCCTAGTTTTCGAAATCTGTTTTTCGTTCTGCTGGGCACTTTAGCACAGAAGGGCATTCCAAGTATTTTAATAATTATTATGATTCATATTAATAATATGTTTTGTTACTGTCCTCTTACCTGCATGTTGCCGTATGCATTAAATGGGAACGTAGTCGTTCGCCGTACAAACATATTTGGTCATTTTTAATAATTAACATGACAGTGCCTACGTGCCGTTGGGGAATGGTAGCCTTCCAAAATAAAACTTGTGTTGCAACCGGGACAGCGAGCCGTCACTGTGTGTGTTTACATTTTCCGCATTCATGTCGCTGAAGCTTGTCGTGCAACCATGAAGTGCCACTTTCACACGGGGCCGAGGTGCTGCAGAGCCCAGCGCTGGGAATATACCCCGTACCCTTAGCTGCGATAAGGAGACGGACACGCGTCTGTCTGCAGATATGCCCTCCTTACATAAGTGAAACGTCCAACTGCCGGAGCCGCTGCTCTGCTTGGGAGGGGCCTCCTCCAGATACCTGTCAGTCGGACGTTGGCCTGTAATTTAATCGTGAACCAGCCATGTGTAGCTAATAAAGTGCGAAGAGCAGATGAACATGTATCAGGTTTATTTTATTGTATTATTTTGCTTCAGCTTGGCTTCCGACTTATATAAAACTTTCCCCGTGTCTCAGTACGTTGACACATCAGTAAACCAAACTGCGGCCGTAGCCAGACTCCACCAGCATGCAATGTGCTGCTCCTTCGGGTCCCCGGGCCAATTTGAACGGGGACGCCGTATCCGCGCTGTGCGCGCCCCTCGTGAACCCGCTTCAGAAAGGCGCGCGCGCTGACGCACCGGGTAGTATAGTAGCTGGCGATGTTGGCCAGCTGAAAGGACCACTGTGATATTTTTTCCTCTACTTCTCTTCTTATAACTTTTTTTCCACAGTGTGGTCTCTGTATACCATTCCTGAAACGCCCCTTTATGTCAATACATAGACCTGCTTTAATCATATAGTCTTGGTTTGTTGTTTTTCTTACTCACTCTGTAAGTTTGAGTGCTGAATGTTGAAACTTTGATTAATGCCACTTCTGTATTCATCTGTTGGGTCATACTATTGGCCTGTTTGTTAGGATGTGTTGACTTGTGTATTTTTAACAGCTTTTATATGTATAAAATGATAATTTATTGTCATAATGTTACTTGCCATATCATATTTGACACGATGTCTGTGCTGCTGAACACAGTGTATGAATGCTGATGTTTACACAGTGTTCAGGTTCCAGGCACCATGAGGCCGATGTTGGTCTCGCAGTAACACCCAAGCTAGTTAGTAGCGGTGGAAAGGTCATGTTAGCGCTTTGGGATGGGGCAACATTATTCCCGATGATTCTTGCTTGAAACCAAACATTCCGTCATGTAGACCGGAAGTACGCACTAAACGAGTTGGCTAATCCTCTGCATTGCTGCGATGATGAAGCTCCCACAGTGGAATTCTTTAGTTTTCACACACCCCCTCGTTGTCTCCCTCGAGACGTACAAACACACATGTGCAGTTGAGAGCTAAGTTAGAGGTCTATCACAGGGTCAGACATTTACCCGGCAGCCTTTGGCATTTTTTTGGGGGGGGGTTTGGTGCACCTTCTAGGCCGGGGTAGGCAGCCACTGCAGGTCATGTGACTGGCACCCTGATGGGCCTATCATTATGCTTGTCACTGTAAGTGTGCCGATGGCGTAGCAGGCCACGTGGGCCTGTCATCAAGGTGCTTGTCACCTATAGTCTGCCGATGGCGGAGCAGGCCACGTGGGCCTGTCGTCATGGTGCTTGTCACCTATAGTCTGCCGATGGCGTAGCAGGCCACGTGGGCCTGTCATCAAGGTGCTTGTCACCTATAGTCTGCCGATGGCGTAGCAGGCCAC